TCTCTCTCTCTTGGGCTCTCTCACTTCCACTCACTAACCAATGCTTGATACAACTAAATTAGTTTTACTCTCCCTTTGAAATTAAATCATATGACAAATTGTGTAGAAGGAGACAAACAAAATATTCATGAATTATCAAAATTACAAAAGACTCTTAAGGCAAGGTTAAGACCACCCAAATCTGCAGCACAAGTACAAAATTATTTGCAAATTATTTTCCGCCGGTTCAAGGGCTGCTGCACGCCTCTCACTTTTAACCATAAAATATACTGCTTGAGGCAAATATTGTCTTCCTTTTAACACTAGAATTAACATGCTTTGAAATTCAATTATGCTGGTGACCTACGCAGAACAACACGAAGAAATTTTACACTACCAATGTTTAGAAAAGAAGATTGCTTGATTCTTAACGCCTATTAAGTGCTGGTGAGTTTTCCTTTCACCTCATCATTTCCTCATTCAACAATTAGCATTCTCTAACTTGAGAAGGTCCATCTACAGTAATAATCTATGTAGCCTCTGACTTCTGCCATGAAAGCGAGCTAGAAAATGTGCTGTTTACGAGTTCTTCATAACGCCTCACAATCCTGTTCTGCATTTCTTTGATGATAAGTGATTATTTAAAAACAACGATGGGTGTCATGCCAAACGATGTCCATTAATACAATTCAAGAAGGCTTTGCGCAATTTATAATGCATAAGTAGATAACAAATAGGTATACCTTGGTTTGGCGATGGGGTTAAACATGAGTGTTTGAGACAGTACGCGTTTATTTGTTCCAGGAATATTCTGAGTGGTTAAATCGACGACTTTCCAGCCTTGCGGTAGTCCGACCATTGGAAGCTGATGTATGTATAGAATTCAAGAAATGTTGGAATATACTAGTAACTTACCTCTTTGGCATTTTGTGGATTTTCTTTCGCCTTTTTACAAGCCTCTTCGTACCCCTTTGGAGGGCCTATCTCGTCACATTCAGGCTGACCCAAAATACCGCATACCTAAACCCAAGCATTACCACTTTTAGATCTCATTCTTCAAACTTTACTGTTTTACCGTTTCTCTGTAGAAGACTGAGGGTCCCACGGCTAAGCACTGTGATTTGATATTATTTAGGACAACCACGTCTCCAATTTTTAAGTTCTTCTTGTGATCCGTAAGGCATCCTAAAGTACTAAAGAAACCGGGTAGTCGTTAAAATAAGTCTGCATTCTAATCTTACACTCCTAAAAACTTTAATAAGCAAAGTTCATGGCGAAATGTTGAAAAAATGTTATTTAAGCACAATGCCACTATCTCTATATGAAGAGTTTTAAAATTTACCTTCAATAGTATAAACGCCATACTTTTGACATTTATAACGCAAATTTCCGATGGTAAACTCCTCTCCTTCTTTGTACTTCTTTCCATTCTTTGTGCACTCCTAAAAGGAAACTAATTGTGTGCATATGATACGAAGCTGTCAATGACAAGCCTGTATTAAAAACAATAATTAAGGTATTTATTGAGTAAAATAAATTTAAAATAGAATTTAGAAAGCAGAAAGTAAAAAATT